AAATGTAAACAATAATCAGACGACATGTCATGTGCTACACCTAGACCGCCACATCAAAGGTCAAGGTCACACTTAGAGGTCTAGGCAAAAAAGTCTGTTACATATGTTCCATATAACAGAAATGTCATCAAACCAAATATTACAAGTTTTTTTCTGTCATAAAATCTTGTTCGTTAATTTTGAGCTACCAAATATAACTGCTTGCTTAATTATTTATACATGTATATCCCTGTTCAAGCTTGTAAAAGACAGACATTTAGATACATCTACCATATAACATGTAACATTATAATAATTGTTCATTAAATGATATTGACCCTACCCAATTAACTATAGACCTTGATGATATTTTTAAACGGAGGCCTTGTAATGTCATGAACGTCGTTGTTTTTACATTTAAATTACAACGGTGAGTTTTATGTTCGCATCTATAAAATAATGCTAAAACGTTTTGTTCAAAAATAATCTAGATAATGGCGCCTAAAACATAGATATATAGATTTTCAGACAAAATTATATATACCAGTCACGTTTCGGATTACCAGTAGTTTATTCACGTACTGTGAGAGTATACACACTTCATAGTCCAAATCATACATGGAACCGTTTAGTTCTATCTAAAAAATGTTAATACATGTTCTGGTGATTGTAGACCGTACATTTATACCTTAATTCTACAAAGCCTTAGATTTGACTCAAGAAAATGTTACTTTAGTTGATGTTAAAAAATTATTCGACAGAAGCATATTGCCTAACATGTCAATTATTGTGTTAAATTAAAAAGTAATTAATAAAAATCATTGAAAAGTATTTTTGGTTCGGGGGTTATTACAAATACAAGGAAAAGTTAGTATTTGTTTAACAAATAAATGAACTGCGTATCCTAATTTGATCATGTAATGCCTTCCGCATGAAATTTTTTAGTTTTTCCGTATTGCCTGTTTACTTCTGTTTTTTATAACTTATGAAAAAGGGCATTAATACCACAGGATAAAAAACAGATTAATAATATATTGCTGTAGGGCGTCTTTTTTCAGTTTTTAAAAAAGAGTTTTTGGGTTTATTTGAAAAGCTTTTTGAAAAAATATTCAGAAAATTCCCAATATATAGCACCAGATGTTTTTTCTTAGGGAAAATAATAAAAACGAAACTTCTTTTCCTTACATATTTTCCCGCGTTTGCATTTAAAAAATTGATGGCTAGACACTATTTAAATGTGGACAATGTTGAATATTGTTTTTTTCCAACTTGGTCATATTACAACATTCAACACAACAAACTCTGCTTTATGGTTACATATATTAATATATATATATAATCATCATTTCAATTTATTTTGTCATAACTTTTTGTTTTCCCGGGAGCAAACATAAACAAAATACAAGAAAATTATGATATTTATTTTCCACAAGAACCTTTTTTATTTACAATTAAAACGAGGTTAAAAAAAAAACACTTATTGATTATTACCCAACAACAAAGTATGTTTTTGTAACAGTAATGAGACCAGTAAGCTAATATTTTCTTGTATACACCTTATTAAAAATAAAAAATTATGACACGCCTGTAAAAATCAAAATCTAGTATTTCGGGGAAAGTAATAATATAAAAGCAAATTATAATTAAAAGGTCTAGGTATTATATAATTGTTATGAGATTATATTAATTTAAATATACTCTGCAAGTAAAGTAACTTAAAAATGCTTTATATTATACCATGAAGCTCTAGACTATCAGGATGTCTTAGAATGTTTACCTTAGTTGTCAAACCTCTAGAACCCAGATACAAATAGTAATGACTTTCATTGGGTGATTCTGGCAATTGCGAAGGGCAAATTTGCCTCTTTGTTTTACTTGCGGTAATTGCAAAAAGAAATTGAAAAAATAACCAACCTAAAAGTTCAACTTTTAAGTGTGTTTTTTAACAAGATAATTATAAAAATTATATAAAAAGATTGATTTTAAACAACACGTCAAAAATATATTGTAACATTAACATGATCATTTTGTCTATCAGAAATTTTTAAAAGTAAATTTTAATAGTTAAGAATCTACTATTTTTCAGAATTTTTTCAATAGCACAATTAAATTTAAACAATAGAATAACAATGACTTTTCATAAAAGAAAAATAAGCTGATCCAAACTGTAATTTATCACTTCATGTTTGCACTCTTTATGTCATTGAACATATTGAACGTTTTTGAAACAATTTGAATACAGCCAAGTTTGTTTTTGTTTATGCTTTCAGAAGGAAGCCGAGTTAAACTCGTATATAAGAACTAATGCATTTATGTAGTCCTTTTCCTCTTTAATTTCAATATTTTCATACAGTTGTATTGGTTCTGGTACTTGTCTGTGAACTCAATGAAAGTATGGGCTGTTCCTCCACTGAAATGTTTTCTGTCAGATTTATCATCCTCTGTACTAGAATAAAATTGATTCTATAATTAAACTTCAAAGCACATATCTTATCAAGAGTTCAATCAACTTAACAAAAATACATAACATAACTAAGGAATTACACATTTATAAGCTATAACTAACAGCCAATGAAACTGAACCAAAATGATCTCGTAAATTAACGTCACACATTTTTGATTATGAGAGAATGTTTAGCCTAAAAATTTCACCAGTGATTTCAACCAGTATATTACAGATATTCTTCTAGAAATGTATAACATTGTCCTAAACTATGAAATTCTAAATAAAATAAGGGAGTGTTGAACATAATGGTCCAGATCTCCGCCTCTCAACCGAGGAATAGCGGGTCCAAGCCGTCCATTTTGACTGTTGAACACAGATTCTTTGTGAATAATTTATTATCAAGTTGATTTATCCTAAAATGAGTCCTATATTTGACAATTTATCAATCACCTGTGCAAAGAGGCACGTGGAACCATTTCATAATATAATCAAAGCAGTGTGCAATGGTGGGACGTACACAAGTCATTGCAATAATTCGATAAAGTACACAGGCGACAAACTCAGAAACAGAAAAAACTGTACATGCTCAACAGATAAGAGACCCATCAACAAGGACAAATTACCTTTAAATGAACATTTAGATAAATGATCTAAAAAAGACCCGAAATTTTGTATTTTCCCATTTTACAAAATTTCACAAGTAAAAACGTTTCAGCTAGGTTATGGAAAGAACGCTATTTATTGATGTTTTAATCCAAAACTTAATACTATATAATGACGTTACTATTTTTAGATTATGGACTGTGGTTTTTGTTTTTTATATATATAGGTCAAATAGCTACAGTACCTTCAGCAATGGGGTTGCATTCTTTCAGTAATGGTTGCCGTACAAGTCTCGGTCGGGCGGCAAATTGTTTCAAACCCAGTGCACTCTCTTAGTTTCAGATAAGAGTTCGTTTAAGAACAATAAAGTAGAATAATTTCACTCCTTAATCTGAAAAATGGTCCTTATCTGTTTCTTTTTTCGTTCTATTTTCAATGATAAGGAAGGTTGACCCTCAATATTGAAATATTTAACATTTAATATTTAACTTGGTGCCACTCAGGAAAAAATGAAAATTACGATATTGTTGCGTCTTCCTTGTAACGGATTGTTGATCTATTGTTGACAATTTTGTTTTTTTTTCCATTTATGATACTTTAGGTGCTTCTCCGTACATTATTTCAGAAATGGGCGAGCATCTAGCTAAAACCACTGTATATTCGTAACATAGCTGGGATAGCTCCTCTCGTTGTGAAATAACATACATGACGAGGTCAGAAACCGCAGCGGTGACTGGCAAGTGATAAGATGACAGTAACTTTTAACTACTTAACGGACAGACGAAACATGACCCTTTTTTTACATTTGTACATGAACATTGAGCGATTCTTTTTTTATTCTTTTTTTCTATTTATCGGGCCCCAAAAATATGAGTGACTTTATTGAATGAGTACACTGACATTTCACAAAGCAATAATACATTCATAATCTTTTGACAACTACAAAATAACGAATAATATAGGCCCTATGCACGATTAAGAGCAAGTTATCATAATTATATATTTAAATAATTTTTAGTGCAACAGGTAACTGAATTTTTTTTAATAAAATTTTTTATAATGTAACTCTTGATCAAGGAGCAGGACCTAAAAAACGATTTAAAAACAACAATTAACTTATTTGAATATATCGTAATATAGTATTAATTTATTGAATATCTTGGTAGTGTCATGCAAGTACTACAGGCTCTGTGAGAATGACTTAAGCCTTTGACATTGTGACCCCCAAATCAATAGGGGTCTTGTACCAAATTGGACAATCATCCCTATGAAGGGTTTGGGAAAATTGTGAGGGGCCCCCAAATGGAAACTTAAAGTTATGCTCCCGGAATCTGCTTCCATTTTTAGTCCTTGCCTTTAACCTTGTTGACCCCAAAATCAAAGGGGTCTTCTACCCAAATATGGAGCAATCCATCCTATTGAGGGTTTGGCATATTTGTTGGGCTCAAATGGAACTTAAAATTATTGCCTCCGAAAAAACCAAAATTGGCTTAACGGACGGACGGACGCCAGGGGGTAAAACATAATGTGCCCGAAATTTTTTCGGGCATATAATGAATGACAAATTATACCTCAGAAATGCTTCCAATTTTATTTTTCAAAAACTTTTAATTTTTGGAATCGTTTTACAGTTCTCAAAAATAACTTCTCATTTGCCATATACATGAACTATCTCTATTGACAATTGGTATAATTATTGTGAATAAGTGTTTTGTACTGAGGTTAAAATACTACTTTGTTTACATTTTGCTACCTTTATGACACATTACTGCAGTGGTATTTTCTTCAAATTTTAAAGATCTAACATCCTCTTAATCCATCATTCAAACACTATTGAACACATGTTTGGCATTTTTATAGAATTTAGAAAAATATTGATTTCTGGGGCATAATGTGCCTTAAACATTAATTCAGAATGCAAAACTTATGTGGCTTATAAGTAGATATCTGAATCTCTCAATATCAAGTTTTGTCACCTTTATGGTCATTTTGATTTGAATAACAAAATTACCAATGCATGTACATTTATATAAATATTCTCTTTTTAAAATTTCAGGATGTGATGCATTCTTTTTTAACTGCAACCCTGCTTTGATTGATTGTTTTCAAAATCCGTGCATAAACTCCGTGTGTCCAGCTTTTCCAACGGCCTCTTGCAGGTATTGTAGCACTAAAATTTTACAATTTTTTGGCGTATTTCTTTTGATGAAGTCCCAAAAATAGTATCAATAAAAATTCAATGATATCTAAAATATCTTATCATATGAAGAAAAATGTTTTAAGAAATAATAACAAACTCCATTTTAGGGGTAGCGCTTTCTATGCTTTCATATTCTCAGTAGAGCATTGTGAAATAATGGCGGGAAAACTTTCAGTAGCGCTTCAAATGCGTATGCATATTATCTGCCGAGCATTGTAAAAATACAAATAATGAAAAAAAAAACACTACGTAAGGAAACATTTATCATGCTATTATTTGATATATAAGTAAAAAAGAGAAAGTTTCGCGCGTCTACGGTGGCATAGAGGTGAATTTGCACTTTTATTTTATCTCGTGGCCACGACTTATTATCTTGAGGCCTCAAGATATTATCTCGTGGCCACGACTTATTATCTCGTGGCCCACGACTTATTATCTTGTGGCCTCAAGATATTATCTCGTGGCCACGAGTTATTAACTTGTGGCCACGACTTATTATCTTGTGGCACGACATATTATCTTGAGGGAAGACTTATTATCTCGTGGCCTCAATATATTATCTCGTGGCCACGACTTATTATCTCGTGGCCACGACTTATTATCTTGTGGCCTCAAGATATTATCTTGTGGCCACGAGTTATTATCTTGTGGCCACGACTTATATCTATCTCGTGGTGGCCACGACTTATTAAATTGAGGCCACAACTTACTATATTGAGCCACGACTTATTATCTCGTGGCCACGAGTTATTATCTTGTGCCACGACTTATTTCAGCCAATGAGAATGGACGTTTCATCTTGAACAAAAGTTAATATCACTAAGACCTTATATCACACTGGCCACAGCTTTCACAAGAGCGGCGGGTCAAACGCTAAGACAATATTGATAATTGTTTCATAGTTCCCTTTGTACATGTAAAGAATAAAATAAACATGTTTTGACTTCACAGATAGTTGATATGTTATGTTTAAAATTCTACACAATATAATAACTATAAGGTTAACCATGAATATATGTAGTGTCAGTTTTTTTAAGTAAAGAATTACTTGAACCTGTTATAGGGAATGCAGCTTCCTGTAACATAGTTTAGTTGGATTCTTTATGTTCAAGTTAGACCGCATTAAGTTAGAGTTCATAGATTTAAATAAATTCTGTGATTTTTAATTATTCAATGGTGAGCAAGTTTATCTAATGTGAAGTCAAAACATGTTTTAAATTTTAATTGTTACAAAGAACATGTAAAAAATTATCAAATATTTTCTAATATCCAAATTTAAGCAAATATATCTTAAAGAAATGAATGAAAAAAAAAAACCTGACCATACAAAACAGAAGAAAGGGGTACACTAACAAATTATAAATCGTCCCCCTTATTCACCGCTTGCAAGCGTTTGGACCCGCCGCTCTTGTGACACTGTTGGGCCAAGTGTGATATACGGTTCGTTGTGCATATTAAATTTTATCACCCCCGTGGCATAGGAGGTGACATTTGCAGTTTTAAAATTTTATCTCGTGCCACGAACTTATTATCTTTAGGCCTCAAGATATTATCTCGTGGGCCACGACTTATTATCTCGTGGCCACGACTTTATTATCTTGTGGCCTCAAGATATTATCTCGTGGCCACGACTTATTATCTTGTGGCCACGAGTTATTATCTTCGTGGCCCACGACTTATTATCTTGTGGCCTCAAGATGTTATCTTGTGGCCTCCAAGATATTATCTCGTGGCCACGAGTTATTATCTTGTGGCCACGACTTATTATATTGAAAGGCCACGAGTTATTATCTTGTGGCCACGACTATTTCAGCCAATGAAATGGTCGTTTCATTCTTGAACAAAAGTTAATATCAAGACGACCTTATATCACACTGGCACAGCTTTCACAAGAGCGGCGGGTCAAGCGCTGCGGCGGTGAAGAAAGGGAACGTTTTAAATTATTATTCTTCTTTTTTGTATGGTCAGGTGTTTCTTTCCATTCTTCTTTAAAGATATACTTTGCTTAAATTTAATATTAGAAAATAATTGATAATTGTTACATTGTCCCTTTGCTACAATGTAAACATAAAATGAACATGTTTTGACTTCAAAAGATAGTAGATATGGTTATGTTTAAAATTCTACACAGTATAGGTTGTTCACCATACATGTTTATATATTTCACCGTTTTTTAAGTAAAGATTACCTTGACCTGTTATAGGGAAGCAGCTTCCTGTATCATAGTTTATTGATTTCTTTATTCAAGTTAGACGCATTAAGTTAGAATAACCATAGATTAAAAAAAAATCTGTGATTTTTAATTTTCAAGGATGAGCACGGTAATATCTAATTTAATTGAGATTTGATTTAAGAAAATATATGCGGTTGATGTATACTTTTAAAGGTCGTTCATGCGAAAAAACTTGCCCCTTTTCCTCTGTGGATTCGAATCCCATTAAAGACTTGTATCTAGATAGTTATTATTGAAGATATAACTAACAATGTCACAAATGATAAAGACTAAACTTTGACGGGTTATCTGAATCTTTTTCTTTTTTATTATTATAAAAACTGACATACTAGTATAACAAGTTTTCAAAGACATATGTCAATTCTTTTAAGATCTCCTCTTTGATTGGGTACTGCTTTATGCTGTGCTATTGCTACTGCCAATTTCACGTTTTATAAATTGTCTCAATGCTAATTCTGTGCTACTGCTACTGCCAACTTCATGTTTTATAACTTTGTTACTGCTACTGCTCAATGCTACTGCTACTTTCTACTGGTGATGACCACTGATAAAGTGAGTGTATTTTATGAAAAAACTGCATCTATAGAAACTTGATCCTTACACGTTAGGACCATAAGATAAGAAACAGAGGGGCCAATTAGTGATTGGACAAGACTCTACTCAGTGGACGTGTTAATGTTGGTCAATACAGTTAATAGTGATATACTAGCTGATAAGCCTTTACGAAATTCAGCACGTCTCTGGGAAATGCGTGAAACTTAGTAAATATATGGTGGTGATTGACACGCCCCTCCTGTGACTGCTATTGCCAGTGTGATATTAAATTTTGTTCAAGATGAAAACGACCATTTTCATTGGCTAAAATAAAGTCGTGGCCACAAGATAATAACTCGTGGCCACGAGAAAATAAGTCGTGGCCTCAATATAATAAGTCGTGGCCACAAGATAATAACTCGTGGCCACGGAGATAATATCTTAAAGCCATAAGATAATATCTTGAGGCCACAAGATAATAACTCGTGGCCACGAGATAATAAGTCGTGGCCACGAGATAACATCTTGAGTGCCACAAGATAATATAACTCGTGGCCACGAGATAATAAGTCGTGGCCACGAGATAATATCTTGAGGCCACGAGATAATAAGTCGTGGCCACAAAAGATAATAACTCATGGCCACGAGATAATATCTTGAGGCCACAAGATAAATAAGTCGCTGGCACGAGATAATAAGTCGTGGCACGAGATAATACTATCTTGAGGCCACAAAATAATAAGTCGTGGCCACGAGATAAAATAAAACTGCAAATGTCACCTCTATGCCACCGTACTTTTATTTCAAGATGAAACGACCATTTTAATTGCTGTAATAAGTCGTGGCCACAAGATTTATAAGTCGTGGCCACGAAATAATAAGTCGGTGGCCACAAGATAATAACTCGGTGGCCACGAGATAATATCTTGAGCCACAAGATAATAAGTTGCGACCACGACATAATATCTTGAGGCCACAATATATAATAAGTTGTGGCCACGAGATAATAAGTCGTGCCACGAGATTAATATCTTGAGGCCACGAGATAATAAAGTCGTGGCCACAAGATAATAAGTCGTGCCACAAGATAATAACTCGTGGCCACGAGATAATAAGTCGTGGCCACAGATAATAAGCCATGCCACAAGAATAATAGGTCGTGGCCACGAGTTAATATCTTTGGCCACGAGATAATAAGTTTCGTGGCCACAAGATAATAAGTCGTGGCCACGAGATAATATCTTGAGGCCTCAAGATAATAAGTCGTGGCCATGAGATAAAATAAAACTGCAAATGTCACCTCTATGCCACCGTACGCGTCGCTTTGGGTTCCAATCCTGCAAGGGACTTTAGATTCTTACATCTGGTGAATCTTTCCAGCTTAGCTTACGGAACGTCGTTGGTTCTACTCAGATGCCCGTTTGTGTCTGAAATAATGCATGAAAGGTAACCGAGAGGTCTTCTATCACAGTAAAGCTTGAGGGTAAAGCTTGAGTTTTTCTTTTCCTTTATCGGTCGCCAGTCGGCCATGTTGGTGCGACGCCAAACCAAACACAAAAAAAATAAATGGAAAGAAAATTAATTAACCTTAGACCTATTGTCGTAAAGCCAAATTGTGACCGGAAAACAGATGTGCTTTGAACGGGTTGATATAAAATGTTATTTGTTTTACACAGGACTGGATGTAGCTGCGAAGCAGAATGGTACGTTTAACAACAATCAAAGAGTTACTGACGCATGTTTTCACAAGGATAACAAGGGATAACACATATAATAATATAATGCACATAAAACTAATAAAATATTGAATATTTAGTTAGTTTTTGTTGTGTTTTTTATTCTAAATCCGATTGTTTCATTTAAAAGAAAGAAAACTTAAAAACGTTAAATAATTTAAGTTTTTTAAATGGATTGTTAAAGAATTGTATAATTTGTGTCCTTAAGAAATCTCCTGCTCGGTAAACTTAAACAATGTACTGACCAAAAGTCCACACATTGGACATTTGCATCAGTGTGTAACAACATGTTTACTTGATAAAGGTGATAAGCAAATGTAGGAGCAAATGTAGGAGCACTTAAGAACAAGACATAGTTGTATAGAGCTAATGGAAGAAATTTTTGAATGTGTTATTTGGCATTTATTTAATGGTGGCAGATTCGTACGGTCACAAGCCATTAAGAAATATGAGCCGCGTCATGACAAAACCAACATAGTGCGTTTGCGACCAGCATGGATCCAGACCAGCCTGCGCATCCGCGCATCAGTTTCTCTACTTGTAATAGAGTTGGTAAGCGAACAGCATTAATCCTGATCAGACTGCGCGGGCTGCTCTGTATCCATGCTCGTCGCAAACCCATTATGTTGGTTTTGTCATGGCGCAGCTCATATGTACATCACTTATTAGTCAACCGATGCACGATAGAGTAACAACAAGAAATCCTTTCCAACTCTCCAAAACATGTCCCAAGACACCCCCCGCCCACTCCCACACCATGCATTCAACGAAAAACATCTCTCACGTCCCTTGCGTCAACAAAAAAAAATCTCTCAAGTCCTTACTGTATCGACGTAAAACATCTCTCACGTCCCCTTGCATCGACGAAAAATATCTCCTCACGTCCCGGTGCACCGACAATAAAACATCACTCACGCCCTCCTTAGCATCGACGAAAAACATCTCTAACGCCTCTTCTGCATCGACGTAAAAACATCTCTCACGTCACCTTGCATCGACGAAAAAACATCTCTCACGTCCCTTGCATCGACTAATAAAACATCTCTCACGCCCTCCTTGCATCGACGAAAAAAAAACATTCTTTCACGTTCCTTGCACCGACAATTAAACCAATCTCTCACGTCCCTTGCACCGACAATAAAACATCTCTCACGCCCTTGCACCGACAATAAAACATCTCATCACGCCTTTTTGCATCGACGAAAAAAAACATCTCTCACGCCTCTTGCATCGACTAAAAACATATGCTCAACGCCTGTGCATCGACGAAAAAAAAAAAAAACTCTTCTCAACCCCCCTTTGCCACCGCCCAAGAAAACATCTCTCAGCGCCCTACTTGTATCGACCCGAAAAAAAAACATCTCTCACGTCCCTTGCGCCGACAATTAAACATCTCTCACGCCCCATTGCACCGACAATAAAACATCTCCCACGCCCTTGCACCGACAATTAAACATCTCTCACGCCCTCTTTGCATCGACGAAGAAAACATCTCTCACGCCTCTTGCATCGACTAAAACATCTCTCACCGCCTTGCATCGACGAAAAAACATCTCTCACGTCCCTTGCATCGACAAAACAACATCTCTCACGCCCTCCTTGCATCGACGAAAAAACATCTCTCACCGCCTCCTTTACATCGACGATAAAACATCCTCGCGTCCCTTGCTAGACGGAAAAAACATCTCGCAATGCCCTTTGCATAGACGATAAACAATGTAATTAATGTAATTAATGTCAAATTGAAACACGTACATGTATTTTAATCAATATATTTAATGCATTTTTCAGTTAAATAATATCAAGGGACGGTGCTTTTATCTCCAAGTTATATCGATGTTGTGTCTGGGGCGATACGTTGAATTAGCGCCCAAAGGTATCTGGCGACAATAAAGCTTGCCAATGTTTTTGTATATTAAAAGATGGTTTAATATTCGTCTGAGAAACACGTTTCTGTTTTCACAAAACTCCAGCACGATCTGGAATCTCCTCAGTCCAAGAACGAATTTCCGTTATTCGTTGGGAATTTGCACCGAGTTTTTTCCCTGAAAATAATACCCGTGATAAAAGCGTTCTTCAATGTGCAAATACGGCAAAGCTGGGCTTTTTTCAACTTTTTTGGCACCAATTCCCTTTTATTGTGTATGACGCCCCTTTGCATAAGGGGATATCTTGAAAAAGGTACTCCGATTTTTTAACCCCCCCTTTTTCCATTTTTAAACTTTCAGGCCATAGAAAGAGAGTGGATGAACCCAAAACAGACCCTTTTGGGTGATACGCGATAATTCTTAACTCTGCAAAAGAATTTTTATTTAAAACAAATACTTTTTCATTCTGCTTTGGGGACATATTAACCCCCTTTTGCAATATTTTTTTTTCCCACTTAAGACCATAAAAAACCTTAAGAGTAAGGTTGTAGTGGGAAAATCTATGAAATCCGCCTCCCACAAATCGCTTTTTTCCTCTGCTCTTTCTGACTCATAATAACCCGATTTTTTGGACTCCTCCCAAGAAGGAACCCGATTTTACCGGATTTTTGCATTCCCAAAATCGCTGTAAGTCTAAAGGGGGGTGAACGGGGAAATTTAAACCGTAAGTTGCCCTTATCGCGGTACGAATATATTTCTTTTGAGGAATTGATGGAATAAATACAATCATTTTCGGGCATTTTCTAAAACAACTGATTTATTTTTAAATTTTAAAAAACTTTGAGTTCAAAACCGTGAGTTTGCTTTTGGACATGTTATAAGCTCGCATTTTTTTAAATTTTCCCTTTTCCGATGGCGGGAAAGAGGTTCATAAATATCATACCCCTGTCATTACGTGTGCTTTCCTTTTTTCTAACTTAAACAACATCTCTTTTTTTTCTTCTTCAAAGCGATCTTTCCGTCGAATTCTATTTCGCGTTCGAAATCATATTATGTTTAACCCCCTTTTAATTACTGGAATCAATTATATGGAGGTCTTTTTTCATTCCATTATGTTTTTTATAATCATACGGAGGCGGTCATTGATGCAATATTTCTTCAATTCATCTCGTACGTCATTCCGGAAAAGGCAAACGGAAAGTATAACAATAACAATAAAGAATTTTTTTATCAGAAAATCTACACGAAATTTCTTCTTCTCATCTAAAACATTGTTAGTTTTTTTCTTGGAGCATTCAATCGCAATTATCTTTTCTTTTTTAACTATTAAACCCTTTGGTTTTTTAATTTTTTAAAAAAAAAATTTTTTTTTTTTTTTTTCACTATTTTTTTACTACAAATTTGCACAATTTATATAAAATTTATACTTATTTCTTCAACAGAAAACTTTTAATTTTTAATTAAAATTTGGAAAAATTTTTCGTTTTACCCAAAAAAAAAGGTATCTTTTTTCGAGTTTTTTTTTCTTTTTTTTTCTTTTTCTTTTTATTCCGTTTGAAAATAACACTGCATTGCATATACAAAAGCACCTACATTTTTTATACATTTTTTTAACACAATACAAATTAAAATACATTTTTTTAATTTTCATATGTTTATAAAATTTTAAGCGCATCTAATTTATTGATCCATTTCATACAATAAGATACGTTTAAAATCAATGTTACAATTATGTAAAAAAAAAAAGGTCAATAATTTGTAATTAGAAATCATACAGTATCGATCTATCCAATATCTGATTGTATTATTAATATTTTCAATCAGCTTTTTCAAAAATAGCAGACGATAAAAGGTAAATGACTTTTTATATCATACAGAATTAATTGAAAAAATGAATTAAAGGCCCCTTAAGCCAAAATGCTGATATTTTATTTTTTTTTATTTATTTATCTACTTTGATCATTTACTTCTTTATTTATTTATTTTTTTTTTATGTTTTTTTTTTATTATTTATTTATTTTTTATTTATTTAATTTTTTTTTATTTTCTATTAAATTTACTATTAAATTTATTATTTTTTATTTTTGTTTATTTTTTTATTTTTTTTAATTTTTTTAATTTTTTTTTTTATTTATTTATTTAATTTTTTTAATTTTTTTTTTTTTTATTTTATTTTATTTTTAATTCATAACTTTATTTATTTATTTTGGGCAGTTTCTAAAAAAAATACTAATTTTGGAAAAATTATAACATTTTTTTTTTATGCGTTTGGATTTTTTGCATTTATAGTAAAACTTGATGGGGTCAAAATACCCTTGTTTCCATTTTTTTACTTTCATCCAAAATTTTTTATATTTTATGTTTTATATTTGTTCAGTATAAACCTTTTTCATTTAAAAAATTTTAATATAATAAAAAACATGTCTGCTTTTTCTACAGAAAAGGGAAAAATTTATTTCTCTTTTTTTTTTTGATGAATCATCTTCAAAAAACTTATTCGAAAAGCTAACGTTAGATATACGTAGTATAGGCTTCTTAAAATATTTTTTTACATTGTATTGAGAATATTGAACAAGTATAGATTCAATACTGTATTTATTGAACAAAAAAAGCAAATGAAATGCAATCAGAACGGGCATCCTAGACTTTTTTAAAAATTGTAAATTTTAACCCAAAAAATAAAATAAAAAACAGTTTCTTAGAAAAAAAGAAAAACAAAAAGAATGGATTTTTAAATTTAAATTTTAGTCTTTTTCCAATATTAAATTTGAGGTTAAAAAATCCAAACTTGAGAAGAAAATTCCCACTTCAAAAACGTTAAAAAACTTCCCATTTTATAATATCGAAAGTAACTCATATAATAAAAAAATTAATAAAGACAAGAAAAAATAAATTTTATTTTAAAAACATTCCCAAAATCTCCCTTTGAAAATTTTTCCCCCTAAATGTCTCTAAAAATACCCCCTCATTAAAAAAATAGGAAAACATTACCCTTCAAATAAAGAACAGTTTTCCCACTCAAATGTCCCCTGTAGAACATCCACTAGAAACCCAAAAAAAACATTACCCACTACATGCCACTATAAAAATATTACCCACTACATGTCACTATAGAACATTACCCACTATATACCACTATAGAATAATTATACCCACTAACATGCCACTATAAAATATTACCCACTTACATGTCACTATAGAACATTACCCACTACATGTCACTATAGAACATTACCCACTACATGTCACTATAGAACATTACCCACTTCATGCCACTATAGAACATTACCCACTACATGTCACTATAGAACATTACCCACTACATGTCACTATAGAACATTACCCACTACATACCACTATAGAACATTACCCACTACATACCACTATAGAACATTACCCACTACATGTCACTATAGAACATTACCCACTTCATACCACTATAGAACATTATCCACTACATATCACTAAAGAACATTACCCACTACCTATCACTAAAGAACATTACCCACTACCTATCACTGTAGAACATTATCCACTACATGACACTGTAGAACTATACCTTCTAAATTCCAATCAGGATACTGTAGAACATTACCATTTTTCACCACTAGAAAGGTTGCCAAGGATATACTGCTTAATAGATATCAAGTTCCACAAAACAACTTGGATATCATTAGGAATTTCAAAGGCGCAGTCCAAATATTATAATTCTAATTGGCTTTCAATTTCTTATATGTTGCATTGTAAACAAATTGATGATAACAAAAGAAAGAAATTAAAGGTCCCCAGCTATTCTTTTATTTCCATTTATCAGAGCTTTATTTTTTTGCTGTTCTGTGATAGTTAAACAGTACTTACTATCACTTACTTAAACAATCTTTTGCTTTTTGGCAATAAATGTTTTGTTTTGCACGGTAGTCAAAATATAACTGTTTACATTTTACTATTCTTCTTTGTGGCCGAGTGGTTAAGGTCATTTACTTCAAAACATTGCCCCTCACCGCTGTGGGTTCGAATCCCCCAACAGTTTCATGTAAGGAAGCTATCCAGCTATCTTACGGAACGTCAGTGGTTCTACTCAGGTGGCTGTTTGTGCCTAAATAATGCACGGAAGGGCACCCGAGGTCTTCCTCCACCAGTAAAGCTGCAACGTCGCCATTTGACCTAAACAGTTTTGGTGCGACGTTAATCAAACAATCTATTCTTTTCACATTCAACACTACTGTCCTCAGGTTAACAGCATCTCACATGCTCTAAACTATTATTTACACATTATAAAACTCACGTTTGTGCTTTCTAAAGAAGAAAAAATTTATTCCTATCTGAGGTAAAATGTGCCTTGGTCACACTTGTATATCATGCAGTAAAAGTTATTTTTATCTATGAAAATTAGGGGTTTTTTTTTTTGGCAGTTGTGATTTCTTTCACACTTGGTGTGCCAGACAGCCTGCAAAAATTATAATAATAATCATGAAAGAAAACAAAAAAGTTTTAATCTTGCACCATACATTTATTAATAGTCGTCATCAAATAACATAAAGCATTTATAATACAAATAATCAGAAAATCAGAAATCTTTGATTCACACTATAACAATATTGACAAAAAAATAACAAATAATGTTAAATTATGAAATAACAAATAAATATACACATTTCTCTCCAATTGCTTGAAGCATGTAGGTGAAATAACAAACAAACATGGCAGTTTTTACAGTACAATATTACATTCTGTATTTTACTTCCTAAATACATGTGAAGTCCCTTGTTCTTAGTGTCCTCTTAATAAAACTATTGTGTATTTTAATCATATAGTTCTACTGGTTCAAATTCTGCCACGCATTATAATGACCAACAATTAAGACTTGACACAGGAGGATATGAAGGGTTTAAACACAGAATATCCAGGTTGATAGTCATATACTGGGTCACTCCTATCCCAACATTTACACCTTGGCAACTTTTTAACCTTTGTCATATAACATACAAGGGTTGTTCAAAAAGTATTAGGACTAAGTGCCTTGCATCTTCATGTTCCATTCAATTTAGAATATTTTCATATGAACAGCTACAATCCTCACAGTTATTACCAAATTTATAAGTATAACAACTGTCTCAAAATTTTAAGAAGTATTTAAGAAGTCTTTATTGAATTTTAAGTATATAACATTCTATTTCCTCAATCTAAGTTTACAAAATGGACTTATAATCAATGCTGTCACATCACAACCATTGAGGCAAAAAGTGAGCAGTATTACGAAAAGTATACCTAACATAGGCGTTATATCATACTCATAAGTGAGTAAAGTATGTAAAGGGTCAATTGGGAGGGATCCTTTTTAGGGAAACCTCAGTTGATTCCTACAGTGTATAATTACTGTCTGAATGCAAGTGTTGTATAGCTTTGAAAATTGTACATCTTATCTCTAATTAGTGCTGTACAACTAAATCCTACCGTCTGTTGAGGCCTTAAGCAATATTACCACAGATATACATTATATATATGTAACATACAAATAATTCTATATTTAGTTCCATGATATAACACATAAAATTTCACAAGGATCAGTTTATTAAATCTTTAATTTGATACTTGCTGTCAAATTGGGATATTTAAATCTAAAACAATGATATTGATGCATTTGGTGCCAAGCTTGGGAGTTAAACATTTGCCAGTATTTAAAAAGCAACACACATTTCTCCAAACGAGGCTAAATACAGAGACAATCAGTCTGGAGCAGGCATAAATATTGTAAAAATCAGTCACTCGTATAGACACTTGTAACACATTAGATCATAGATCTTTTTTTTAGTTTTGTCCCTCCTAAAAGACTAGAAATTGCAGTAGGCACATGAAGTAATGCATGAATCAAATACTTTACTAATCCTATGAATTTATTAAATTGCTATGCTTTCCAGTTTAAACAACTTTTTTTTAAGTATTTTGAATGTGAATGCAATAATAATATTCAAGATATCCCTAGTTCAAAAACATCTTCCGTTTTATTCATGTTAGCCTGAATGGCTGATATAGCTTTGTTGTTTATCTTTTCCAACAGCAAGTTCTAGCGTAATCTAACTCGCCACAAACATTTAACTCTTGACTGTTCAATTTTTTAAAAAAAAAATTTATACTGAAATCCCTTGAAGGACAAATAGGATGTTCTTAAATTTTATGAAATCCCTTCAAATACTTATGGACTGTTCCAAAATTCTTTGAAATTCCTTAATTTGATTATTCTGAACCTGAAAAAAGGGGCAGGGAGGGTAATGTTCGAAGAGCAATACTGACTCGTTAATGCCTGATTGGTAAGACTAGAAAAATTATTCTTTTTTTTTTAACCCTCTAATTCAACCATAATGCTCTTATTTCATGATTTATTCCCCTTTGTCTTTACTGCTGTAGCAAAATATATTAACTTCACAGGCTGTTCCAAAATGGAGGGAGTTAGAATATTTTATTGAACCTAAAGTGCTAAAAAGTCAGGCAAGGTATCATAAAGATTTCATCTGATTCATTAGATCCTCTAAACTCTGTCCCTCACTCTCCACCGTATTGTTTGCCTGGTCCCCTTGTTCCGGTGCTGGTACCGTGTATGCGACCTTTAGACCTTCAGCCAGCTGAGGTTGTGCCCCTTCTGATGCTTGAGATTCTTCCAAAGTTGTCTCCGATACCAGCTCAATTTCTGTATTAGTAAAATAGACGAACTTTATATAAACAGTTTCTGCATTTTTAAGATACTATTTTGTGTACATTTACAGTTTCTGCATTTGTAAAATTTCTGCATTTGTATAATAAAATTTAATGACACAAACTCAATTTCTGTATTTGTAAAATAGATTAAATGTATATAAATAGTTTCTGCATTTGTAAAATAATATTCAATGTACATTAAAACTTTCTGCATTTGTTTGATAGAATTTAAAGAACAATTTCTCTGTTAATAAAATAGAATTTATTTTAGATTAACAGTTTATGCCATAGAATTTATTTTACACTTATAGTACATGTAGTATATGTATTTCTAACAGAGAACTGATTATACATTAATAGTTCTGCACTTGTAAAAAAAGAATTTAACTTTCATTGAAAGTACATTATAATCAGTTTCTGGACTTTTGTTTTGATGACTTTTAAGTAGAAGAATCAAACTTTCATAAGCAAGCTAGAAAACTTCCTGCAAAAAAATCCAAAGACTCTGGCAGCTATCTTTTTTTTTTGGTTTGATTTTACATTCCACCAACACAGTATAGGTCATATGGCAATTTTCCAGCTTTACTGGTGGAGGAACACCTCAGGTGCCTTTCCACGTAATATTTCAGACTGAGTTGAACAACTGATGATTCCTAAATTCAATGCAAGAGTTTATTATACAAATTTAGATGGAAAAGTAATTAAATCTAGTATTGCAAAAGTTAAATCTCTTAAGATATAGTTACCAAATGGATTGTCCTCGTGTACAACTACCTCTTCTTTTGTTTCTTCTACCACAACTTTTGGTTTTGCTGCCTCTCTTTCCTATAAATACACAAACACACAAAATCGGTAATAACAACAGTATCATGTGAATTTTAAATAGAAGCCACTGGTTCAAGACTGATAAAAAAAAAAAACCAGCCAAAAATAAGTTTATTTCAACCACTCTTACTTGTTCAAATAAATCTTCATTATATTTTGTATAATACTATTTCGATCAAAATTATAGAATGGAATTTTTATTGATATCATATTAAATAAAAGTTTATTTCCATCATTCTATTTTCAGCAGGCAAAGCAGACACGGTTGGGCACATGACTAAAAGCAGACACTTATACCTCTACAACCAGACACTTTTATAACAGAGGGATAAGAAGCTCTAAAAATAGAAAATTTTCAAATCCTGACTCACAATCCTTTGCGCGAGATTCACCCGCCCTTTTGAGTTGATTAATTTCCAAATTTTTTTATATATCTTCATCCATTACAGAGAATTATTTACATTTTCGTAATCTTTATTACTTTTTTATACATTTTTGAAACTTCTTTTTTGATTACCTTTACATTGTTAAGATAACATGGCAGGGTACACATAAATCTGCATTGGTAAAATTTCTCATGTGTAATGTGGCCTCGTGAAAATCTTGCAAAAATGTGAACTTGCGTGATTGTAATTCCTTGATACAGATTTTAACTGTATGATGTCATAGCTTCCTTTCCATTTAAATATAGTTATATGACACAACTTAACATTTGTAGAGAATGTGATGTAAATAAGACACACATCAATCAACAAACCTTGTATTCAGCCTGTTGTCTCTTACAATGGTTGTCATCACACTGCTCGTTCGGTTTCATTGACATTGTAGGAAAGAAATCTTGTAATGCATTGTAGCCTAAATAGTGTGTTACATCTCCAAATTTTAGTAAATATCTGGAAATAACAAGATGATCACAGTGTGTTTACATCACAAAATTTTTGTAAATATCTGGAAATAACAAGATAATGTCTTTATATTGCCAAATTTCAGTAAATATCTGGAAATAACAAGATAATGTCTTTATATTGCCAAATTTCAGTAAATATCTGGAAATAACAAGATGATCACAGTGTGTTTACATCTCCAAATTTTAGTAAATATCTGGAAATAACAAGATAATGTCTTTATATTGCCAAATTTCAGTAAATATCTGGAAATAACAAGATGATCACAGTGTGTTTACATCACCAAATTTTAGTAAATATCTGGAAATAACAAGATAATGTCTTTATATTGCCAAATTTCAGTAAATATCTGGAAATAACAAGATGATCACAGTGTGTTTACATCACCCAAATTTTTGTAAATATCTGGAAATAAAATTTACAAGATTATGTCTTAACTTACAGAAATTTTCTGTAAATATTTGTCATCTTCCATTTAAATTGTATAAAGAAAATTTAAGTCATTTCAAGAATAGATCTACAGTGACTTACTTCAGAGTGTTCTGTACTAAGAAAACTTACTACAGGGGTGTTCTGTAAAATGGAACTTTGTACAGCGGCTAACTTAAAGAGTGTTCTGTACAAGAAGACTAGCTACAGTGACTTACTTTAGAGTGTTCTGTACAAGGAATCCAGCAACAACTGCCATTGTGGTGGGAAGACTAGCAGCACACACACCTTCTCTCTTCAAAGTCTTCTCATCTGTCTTGGTTGCTACAACCAATGGTGGAGCACACTGAAATATATACACAATAAAAATTATATTCAAACATACTTCATACTATCTCCTTATCTACCCGAGTGTATTGGAGTGCATTACAGTACAACCTTTGCAGACAAGCTTTTTGGAGAGCAATAACCTCTAAACAACAAATCAGTTCTTCCGAAAAGTAAGATTTCACAATAAATTTAATCTTTCTTACACAATACCTTTCAGCAGCAACTAAAATCTTTGTCTTCTCTGGAGAGGTTGTACTGTATTACAAGCTAATGCACAAAATAAGGAAATAAATGTTGACTCAATAATACAACTGAGGTCAGGAAAATTACTTCTCCCCTCAGTTTTATTTACTTTCATCTTTTCTGTTCCTAAATACATAGGAAAATAAATTCCAGAAATATATATATATTTCTTGAGTTGTAGGTCCATAATGCATGGTTTTTATTTGAATGCTTTGTAATTAATAGCGAGCACGAAGAGCATGCCCAAATGGCCTGCTCACGAAGCAAGCTTTACGGTAATGCGAGTACCTGCTAGATCGTGATGGTTTTAAAAACATTTGCGGAAAGTACTGCAAAATTATGGGAAATTGATTAATTGCAACTTTTTGAATTAATGGATGACGATAAAAGCCAAGGAATTCTGATTGAAAACGGATGCACAGACTGGTCTCCTGCACATTTCTATGGGAACCATAATAGGACAGGGAACCAAACTAAACAGAAGTATTACATAAAATATCGAATGGCAGTTTTAAAACGGAAAATGTAAAATATGATGTTGAGTGAATGTGTGTATTGAAAACATAAAATGTGTAGTCACCGATGGCTTTAAATTATAATGTGCTATAATTTCTGTCAAAGAGCTGGCTGGCTTGAGGCTTTGCCTTTTTAATATTATTCTTGCATATCAGACAGAATAATCCACTATTTACACCAGTGCTAGAAAAACCTTTCTTACTTCCCCCATTTAAGAAAAGTCATGTACTTCAAATAAACAGCTACCCTCGAGCTAGATATTCCGGTCATACAATATGACATTACTACAAATCAGTACTTGTGCCATGCATTTTGCTACAACAACCTGCTGTTTTTATATCTTTTTACATAAAATATCTTACAGCAAAACAGGCCGTTTCTCCAGGTATCACAAACTGTATATGACCAGATACTGCATTCTCACTGACTCCAGACTCGATCCATGTCTGTCCTACTTCATTACAAGCCTGCAATAACATAAAATATGAATAAAACTAGAACTGTGTCCATAGAAAAATTGGACATTTTTATAAAGTCAGGGGCAATAACTCTGACAAAACAGAATGAATCCACAAGCGAAACCCCAAGTGTACAACTTCACATGCCGATCAACATTTCTGTAAATTTTCTTGACTTTTAGAGCTACATGCAACACAACATGAGAACAGACAGACACAAGAACAAGGGTAAATCTAAATGTCACTCTATAGTGGGGGCACATAAAATATTTTCACAAAGTAAAACCAGAGTTTCTAAGACACAGCTCATATAATTAACTTACAAGATAACAATCTCCTATGCAGTGATCTCCCCTTACCACTACAGAGATCTCTGCCATCACAAACATTTTTATCAATATTTTGATATTTTATATTTTTTAGCTTTTGAATTTGTTTTTCATTATTTTGTGTACTTTTGATAATTTTTATAATTTCTTGATCAACTATAACCAAAACAGGTACGTAAAGTTAAAAATAAACAGAAATAAAAAAATGATGTTAGTTTTCTAAGTAACGGTTGATATTTACATTCGAGGTTACGTCATGTGACTTTCATCATCATAGGACGTCTGTGAAGGCAGTGATTACAATTCTGCCAAGGCAGGTTATCACTGTGAAGAGTTTGACAAAATACATGTATTAAGACTACTTACAGCATTGATGGCCATTCTTGCTTCAAAATTGTCTACACAACTCAGCACCAAGTCCACATGTTCACCTTCCTTTAGACCACCTTTACTGAAATATGCACATATCTTATATCACATATCTTATATCAGGTTTTACTGAACTAAATTGTGAGAACCTTTAACAAAGGATAATGTGTTCAAGTCAAAATATAAACGTCTGCCAATATATTATACAGTTTTTCCCTAACTTTGTAATTTTTCACATGTTAACTGAAATAATAAAGAATATTCGATTATTATTATTACTTGAGTCTTGAATCTTTTTACTTTCCTTAAAATTTTAATATATCTATCTCAAGTTTGATATCTTAAAATATTCTGGCTCATCTGGAGGCATGCAGCTTTAAGCACTATTGAGAAAATATGTACATTGTACTAAATGAGTAAGTCTTACGTACATTGTATAAGTACTAAAGTAGGAATTAAACAAGAGCACCGCTAGGCGGAGCATTATATGCCCGAAAGTGTTTTTTTTAGTAAGGTTGAAGCATTTGTAAGACATTTCATAAATTAAATAAAGTATTACCTCCTTCAAATAGCAATCCTCCTATAAAGTTTGAATATTGTGGGCCAAATGGAACTTAAGTTATGCTCTGGAAACTGTTTTCAGTTTTGAGGTAATAGCGACCTTGAACTTTAATCTTGTGACCCCAAAATCAATAGGGGTGTTCTACCCAATATGGACAATCATCCTATGAAGTTTGAACACTATGGGCCAAATAGAAATTCAGTTATATTCTGGAAACTGTTTTCAGTTTTAAAGAAATAGTGACCTTGACCTTGTGACCCCAAAATCAATAGGAGTCTTCTACCCAATATGGACAATCATCCTATGAAGTTTAAATATTGTGGGCCAAATGGAACTTAAGTTATGCCCCGGAAACCAAATTGCTAACAGACGGACGGACAGACGGACGTACTCACAAAATGGTACGTGTGACTTTTCCTTAGATCTTTTTGGCCACTTTTAGTCACACAAGGCTTAAAAAAAGACACACAAGTAAAAACGAAATGAATAGGATCAAAGAGAATTTACTGTTACCCATTGTTCTCCAAGTCACAAAAGTACCTCTGGGTTCGTACGGATAGACAAACAGACAGACAGATATATGCCAGGGGGTATAACATAATATGCCCAAAATTCTTTCGGGCATATAAAAATGATTCTTAGTACCTGTAGTACTTGAGTCTAGTGTTTTTCTTACCAAGCTATAGGCTTTATCATATGGTAAAACAAAAAAGAAGAAAACAACAAAAACAAAAAACTTACGTGATTCTGTCAACAAAATGTGTAAAGTTATCTATAGTTGTAATATTGTAGTTGTAAATTTCAAACTCTACATCAGGATTAATCTCCCTGTAACATAAATAAAACAGTTCATCACATATACAATAAGCATAATTATTCACAATATGTGCATCATTAAATATAGTCTCCTCATAATTTAAGAAAAAGGAATTCTCATGTCTAAGTAATAGAATCAAATAAAATGTATATTTACTGTAAAAATGTACGAAATCTATGATTCTTTTATTCATTTGCACATACATGCTTATCTCTCTTGGTTTTTATCTACTGTAACAGTGTCTATTCTAGGAGGGGGGTTTGGGGGATTCACACCTTTTTTTTGAGAATTCCCCCCTATTTTTTCAGAGGCAGGGTGAATATTTTAAATAGAGAAAGATGGAGAAAAAATCAGTAAATGTAATAAATGTAATAAATTCTCACTTTTCGATAGTACCCCTCCCCCCCTGTTTTTCAAATCCTAGAATAGACACTGCTGTAATGAACCTCACACATCACCAATGGGATATGCCATTTTTACATATTATATTATTTATCATACACTTGTAAGCTAAACATGATAACATCATATTTAAATATATTTCAGACAGTACACCCAGTTTAAAATGTGGAGAGAGGTCCATTGCAGAAAACCCTCAAAACAACTTCAGACCACTATCACTATTTACCCGCTAAAGCAAACTTACTTTAATGTTTTTTCTGCAGCTTCTACTTTACTAAGTCCTGCCTGATGTGGCTGGTAGAATAAACGGTTCATGTTGGCTAACTCTACTTTGTCGTAATCAAATAGTAGTAACTATCAAAAGAATAATACAATCATTCATTTTATATAATCATATGCATGTATTTCTAATTACTGGTATGATAAACAATCACAAATGTTGTCTCATCGTTGAAACGAAAAGTTAGAAACTTAAATTTACTGGGCAACATAGCTTACTTGTAGGTTAACAGAATATTGCTTTGTACACTGTTTTGCTATTTGTTTATCTTGTGGTTACACATCACATCAATACAGTGGAGGTCATATGGCAGCTTTACTGATGGTGAAAGATCTAACAAGCCCTTTTATGCATTATTTCAGACACAAACAAGCAACTTAGTAAAACCACTGATGTACCGTAAGCTAGCTGAATAGGTTCCTCCCATGAAAAAAGAATCAAAAGTCTCGAGCAGGATTGAAACCTACGGCTGTAAAGGGCAAGTTGTTTAAGTCAACGACCTTTACCTCCTGGCTACAGATGCTTTGACCACTAATACAGCAAAAAAAAACAAACTACTTCCTATGTTCAACACAGAGAAAGATATCTTGACATTAACAGCCATGGCAGTGTTTCCAGCACCATTACGAAATCACCATTTCAGTACATGTATATGTAGATGAATTTTGAAAAAATTGTTATGTGTCTCTTTAACTATGTTTAAAAATTATCTAAGAAAAATTATCATAATTATCTAACAAAAGAATCAATCATTACAAAGTCAAGACCAACAATTTGCTCACCTTTCCTATACCACACCTCGTCAACATTTCCGCTGTCACACTTCCTACCCCACCCACACCAACAACAGCTACTGTATACTCCCGAATTTTCTTAATAAAAATAATTAGACATTATGATTATCTGTATAAATAAACTTTTCATCAATTATGATCAATTAGTTCTTGTGAAAATAATGTCAATATTATTCCTTTATGTGCACTTTAAAAAAAAAAGTATGAAGAGCTGACTCAAAAATTCATCTTTTATTTTTTCTCTCAAATATATTTTACTCGACATTGTCATGAAACTCAAAGACTTCATTAATGCTTAATCACAGACATAAGACGGGCAAAAACAATATAAAAAAAAAGATGGCACATTGTTGATTGTGAGCATTACTGGCTTGACAGAGGCATCACTATAAAGCCAGGCCAGTCTGTATATTTATGAGGTTTGATTAGACAGGCGCTATACTTCTGGCTGCTCCATTTTTAAATCACTCAAACTCAAAATAAGAATTCAAAGCAGACTATAACCAGTACACAAACTCAGCTTGTTAAAGTTTAATCTATTATCATTACTTTTCTTCAATACAAATACAATTACATGTACCTCGTAGTTGTCAACAATACCCATTCTCTTTAATGCCATTAAACGACTGAAAAGATAAAGAGTACATGTATGTTAATCTTTTATATACATTTAAACAGAGTTTATTATATAGAAACTCTATGAATAATTTAAGTTCTAAAAATATTCAGGTGTTCCAAAATTTATATAAAATAGCTCAAGTACAAGTCTTAGAAAATAATATTTCATAATTTTCCATCTTGTACAATTAAATAGATATTTTTCTTCTTTTTTTACAGACAGATTTATTTGATAACTCAATTCAATGTACAAATCTAAAAAAAAATTGCATATCTTAAACATTTATACTTAACTTCCTTGAACTTTTAACAAGATATGACACTGAAAATTTCACTGATAGGTATAGAATTCTATAAATATTTCAATTGTTTTTTATTTGAATTCCTTTTAAATATACACAAGTAGTCTATAGATGGACAAGCTGTATTTAATATGGGCCAAGTTGCCTGTTATCAAGTTTATCTTGGGCTGAGATGACAAATCATGACTCTGGGGCTGAGTTTATACAGAGAAGTAAAAGACTGGGGTCCGCGAAGCGGAGCATGAAATATAACTTTTAAAACAGAAAATGTAAAATAAAAAAATAAAAACAATTATTTTAATCAACTTGGCCCTCCATAGGCTTTGCCTAATTTCCAAATATCGGACTGAGATGAATCTGGGGCCGAGTTTATAGCGGCTGAGATGACAATGGGATCAAGTTATTTTCGGGCCAAGCTGACTATTATTCTTTATTCGCAACAGACATGTAAGTTTACCTTGAACATGCATTATGAATTTAACTGAAGATTCATTTCTCCCGCAATGATGTCAATCACCTAGCACAGATGTTGACATCTGGACAAAAACACTGCATATCAAGATGGATTGATTAATTGGTGAAAAAACATTGACTGCAAATATTCAAATTATTTCCATTTAATCTGACGTATTTCTTGTTTTCTTAAGGTGATTCCGCTTTGTCAGCCATGTTTGTTTTCACAAAGTCTGTCCAAAGTGAAAGTAGGCCAAAATTCATATAACAACAAAGCTCTTATTTTAAAATGATGAACCATTTGAAAGTACACTTCCAGGTTTATATTTTAAGGACAATTATAAACAAAAATAAAAATGATAACAATAAGAATATTTACCTTGAATGTGCTACATTTCTGAAGACCAAAAACATTTTGTTGCAAAGTTTTATGCAAATTTCATGAATGGCAAAATCCTTTTTTAAGTCTGTTTTAGTGCCTACAAAAGCTATTTTTTGCAGCAAATACAAAAATCTTTCAAAACTTAACTCCAAATAAATCCATATCTCATGTCCTTCTAAGCACATGGCCTCCATTATTTTTTTGTAAAAAAGTAGTGCAAGAAAACAATCATCATTTATAGCCTTATGAACTACAATTAAAATGAAAACACAATCAAACTTTAAAATCTAACCTTTTTTATGTGTAACAGTGAAGTGTGTCTGTTTGTCATGTACACAAGAGATAGATAAATGTTGATTTTCATGGTACTACTTTTTTACACATGTCATGGTGGCCATGTTTTTTCAAGGTCAGATAAACTACTTTCCTAAGGTTTATATTTTTTAAAGTTTTTTGTATTTTCTGCAAAAAGTAGCTTTTGTAGGCACTAAAACAGACTTTAAAAAGGATTTTGCCTTTCATGAAATGTGCATAAAACTTTGCAACAGAATGTTTTTGGTCTTCAGAAATGTAGCACATTCAAGGTAATTTTTCTTATTGTTATCATTTTTATTTTTGTTTAAAATAGTCTTTAAAACATAGAACTGGAAGTGTACTTGCAAATGGCTCATCATATAACAATGTGAGCTTTGTTGTTATATGAATTTTGGCCTACTTTCACTTTGGACCCACATAGTGAAAACAAACATGACTGACAAAGCAGAATCACCTTAATCAGTAGCTTCTTTGACATTCACCAATACCTACCTGTATGGGTTAGAATCTACTACTTCTGAGCTCATTTGTGAAATTTTCTGTCGCCCACCAGATTTATTTAGCTGTTTTTCTGCTTCTAATTCCTTCTCCAACTCTCTTATTCTTTTCTGCAGGTCTTCTATTGAAGCCATTTTAAATCTAGTATGTTTGAATCTGCAGAGTCAAATAAAAACAGGTTTAAATAGGAAAAATATGGTAGTAAACTAATTTAAACGTGTACGAATGAACCCGGAAATGATTTGTAAATAAATATGTTTTTACCTCCGACTGAAGAGTCGAAAAAGAATTTCTTATTACCCTAAAGAAAATTAAACACAAATGAAAAAAGTCCGAAAAGGATGAGATCAAAACAACACTAAATATGGACACATGACTATATTTTTTATATTCTTTAAAGTCTCAGATATAGGAAATCGTTTGACCAGTTTGGAAAAAATATTTTACACGAAAATGCACGTTCAAGGGTATTTTAATTTCCTTTTGAATTGTGTAAGGGCGGTTTGACAATAAATGAGAAGGGTTATGAAAAGTCAATATAAATGTTACTGTTCAGAACTGATTAGACGGGCAAGCTGCTGAACAGTTAAGTCGGTAGAGCAGCAGAACGATAAGATAAGATAAGATAAGATAAGATAAGATAAGATAAGATAAGATAAGATAAGATAAGATAATCTTTATTTAAAGTCGGTTTCATAAAAACATATAAACATTAGCTATATAAGCTATTTTCCGACAAAACTTATTATCCTATAACAATTCAAACAAACAATCTGTATAAAAGAAAATATATAAAAGTATTAAGAAGATCAATGTACATTTATGAAAGACTCTGTAAAACAGTTAAGATTTATCAGCACATATAAATATGGGTAAGAAAGCATTAAATGATTAAAAGCAAATATACATTACAATCAAACATCACATAAAATTACATCATACAAGAGTTCTATTTATGTACACAACCCTAAAATCAAAAAAAGGATTAGAATTTTTTAAAAATTTAAATTTTTAAAATAAATTAAAGTAAATGATTCAATTTTATTTTATTTAAATATAGTTAACCTAATTTCCAGTATGATGCTTGAGCACATATCAGTAGCAGCATCTGATATGTACTCAGTCATGAAAATATGGGTGTAACTAAAACATGTACAAGTATCATAATAATAAAACTTAAGATGTTGAAATGTTTGTGTAACAGATGCTGATCTGAGTTGGCCTAGATAAATTCATGGTCTAAGTTAATTACTTAATTAATTAATTAGAACCAAAATAAAATAAAAGTAGAAATAAAAAGGTAAAAATAGATTTAAAGAAGCTATTGTCCCCTTTATGGGATATATGAAAAGCTGATAGTCTGAGGATCCCGGGTTCGAGTCCCGGGCAAGCTGAACATGCCAGGGAGTTTGACTGAATATATATAGTTTATAATTTTACATAGCTCTCTGTAAATCTGAGAAATTCGAGGAATAATGTCAATAAAATGGGAAAGAACGTCACGTTTCAAAATTGATCACTATTTAGGGGAGAAGATGTGTAAGCTGCTGGATAGCTCAGTTGGTTAAGCCTTGGAACGATAGACCAATGGTCCCTGGTTCGAGTCCCAGTCAGGCTGCACATTTTCTCAACCTGTGACATAAAATTTAATGTGAAAGATAAACACTTTGCTTAGACCTATTTATAATTTAGATAAATACATGTACAAATTTAACAACAATGCTATCTACTTTTACTTTGCACAGACACAAGCACAAAAATAAATTCGCCAGTTAAAATTACATTGTTCTAAGTCAGAAAGTTTTAAAATTAAAATATCAATTCAAAATTTTTAATCTAAACATTAAAAATTATGACACGTTAAGTTGTTGCGTTTGATTACTTTGATAACCTAATTCTTATCATTTCATAACGAATAGCTTATCACAAAATTCTATTTCACATAATTTGCTTTAAACTTTTATATGTATTATATTAAATACTGTTTTGTTTATATTTATCAAAACGTATTATATGTAACATTTAATGTAAAAAGGCTAACTTTAAATATTGTTTTTAACTCATATTTAACATTTGCAATCCAATAAGAGAAAAAAAGAAATATGAATAAGATTGTTTAAAAAAACAACGCTATTTTTTTTGTTGTACTGTTGTAATGTCAATCAATATAATCCATTCTGTTATGTAAAGTGTATAATAATATTTACCTAGATGAAACATGCATAAACACAATAATACATTTTTTACACTAAATTGTAATATACTTTCATGTCATGTCGTCATGCAAATAAATAAATAAATAAATGAGTTCCATATAACATAATCATGATTTCATAAAACATTTTTAAAAATGCCATACATAAAGAAGAATATTTCATAATTAGTTAATTATAAATATAAACTTTGCATTGCACATATTTGTCTTCTTTTTATTGTGCAATCGTTTGTCAATGCAATACATTGTAAAATTCAGCTTCCTTATCAATCATATTAGCTGTTCCCTTGAGTAAGATTGAGTTGAAAGGATAAGAAAAAAAAAATATGAGAATGCATGTCATGTCTATATTACAACTTTGTTTGTTCGTTTGTCATTCCTTCCTTCCTTCATACCTTCATATATTCCTTCCTTCATTCTTTCTTTCTTTCTTCCATCCTTCCTCCCTATTCCCTTTTCTTTCTGCCTTCCTTCCTATCATTTATTCATTGAGTTATTTTATTTATTTATTTATTTATTTATTTATTTATTTATTTTTATTTATTTATTTATTTATTTATTTATTTATTTATTTATTTATTTATTTATTTATTTATTTATTTTATTTATTCTCTTTACTTTTATTTATTTATTTATTTATTTATTTATTTCTATATTTCTATATTTATTTATTTATTTATTTAAAACTATATTCTTTTTTCTTGTATAAATTGACGTGCACACAACCAGTGTCTTCCTTACACAGCTAATAAAATCGATGGTCTTTTATACATTTTGGTGTTTAATTTTCTTTAGGCCAGTTCTTAGGTATTACATAGGAATGAATAGTTTTGTACATGCATCAACTTGAATTGGAATTGATAAAAACCTGAAATACTTCTCATTAATGCTCTTTAACATATACATTTATCAAAAAATACTATATTTTTATAAAATTATTGGAGTAATTTGCTTTTTTGTCTTAAAATTTAAAAACGATGATTACTGAAACTTTCTTAACTATTCACTACCAGTTTGTTGACGTTTCACGAAAAATGTACATGGCAGGCACGTTATGGAAATGGACAAATTATTTTAGCGGTATGTGAGGTCTATGAAACATTTTATCCATATTTTTATCTTTTGCATATCTGATTCACATTTGTTCCACGATATGGAATGATTGTTAATTTATGGCAAGCACTACAATCTTTAATTTATTGGCTAAAACTGGTACATGACACAACCTGTCACCTACCCGTACCACAAGTGACAAGGAAGTAAAGTCCTTGTGAAGAAAGTTAAGCTGATTGTACTCTTAAAATTTCTCTAATACATATAGTCTGTTGAGAGAAGCATCTTGCATTGGTGTAAATGTAGCAACAGTGTAGACAAGGTTTTCAAGTTTCTTGCTGTCATCTTTTCTAATGAATTTACATTTCTTGTTTGTTATTGTAGATGAATTACCATATGCAAAAGTAATGCAAGGAAGTAAATGCTGCACTGGGCTTCGCCTTGCGCGACAATAAACTACATGGTTATATGTAAATGGAAACCAAATAAAACTTCTATACCTATCAGTTTAATTTTCAGTGTCATTTGTCATAGGGCGGCATAGTCAAAATATATTGACGGCCAATACTAGATTTTGAGATGTTTTTGTTCTTGGTGTGAATCGTGCTTCTAGGGTACACAAAATATCACAATTTCTCATCGCATAGTACAATTGTGTAGACTAAGGGCCGCATTTTTAATGTAATTGAAGGATAATTGACGAGGTATTTTGTTAACAGAGCATTCACAATTTTTTTCGGCTAAGGTTGAATTGTTGAGGTGTTCCAAATAAAAATTGACTCGGTGCCTGAAAAACTGAATGACACTTTAAAAACAGAAAATTGCAGCTTGACAGAAATCGGGACCCTCAGAGTACTTTTCTGAGCCTCTACCGACTGAGTTATCTGGCCGCTTACACATCTTCTCCCATAAATAGGGAACAGTTCTGAACGGTTACATACTCCTCCAATATATTGAAATTCATCCCCAAATTTCTCAGTGTTACAAGGCAATGCTTATTAAATTCTGAGCTATATGCAGTCACAGACCCATGTTGAGCGCCAAATGTCACAGGGTGAGAAAAATTGCAGGTTGACAAGGACTCGAAACTGGGACCCTCGGAATACCTTTCAGCAGCTCTACCAACTGAGCTATCTTACGGCTTACACATCTTCTCCCCTAAAAAGTGAACAGTTCTGAACTGTGACAATTATTTAAAAAAAAGAATTCAAAATACCATAGTAATATATGTGTTTCATTTGATTTTCAGGATGGCAAGAAAGGTGGTTTGTGTTAGATAATGGAATCCTTTCATATTACAAGTCACAAGATGATGTTAATTCTGGGTGTAAAGGGTCGGTCAAGATGTCCGTCTGTGATATATCAGGTAAATTTTTCCCCGAAGTCATTAATTCTTGATGTAGAGGGTAGGTCAAGATGTCTGGCTGATATATCGGGTAAATTTTTCCCCGAAGTCATTAATTCTTGATGTAGAGGGTAGGTCAAGATGTCTGGCTGATATATCGGGTAAATTTTCACCTAAAATCATTAATTCTTGATGTAAAAGGTAGGTCAAGATGTCTGGCTGATATATCGGGTAAATTTTCACCTAAAATCATTAATTCTTGATGTAAAAGGTAGGTCAAGATGTCTGGCTGATATATCGGGTAAATTTTCACCTAAAATCATTAATTCTTGATGTAAAAGGTAGGTCAAGATGTCTGGCTGATATATCGGGTAAATTTTCACCTAAAATCATTAATTCTTGATGTAAAAGGTAGGTCAAGATGTCTGGCTGATATATCGGGTAAATTTTCACCTAAAATCATTAATTCTTGATGTAAAAGGTAGGTCAAGATGTCTGGCTGATATATAGGGTAAATTTTCACCTAAAATCATTAATTCTTGATTTAAAGGGTAGGTCAAGATGTCTGGCTGATATATCGGGTAAATTTTCACCTAAAATCATTAATTCTTGATGTAAAAGGGTCGGTCAAGATGTCTGGCTGATATATAGGGTAAATTTTCACCTAAAATCATTAATTCTTGATTTAAAGGGTAGGTCAAGATGTCTGGCTGATATATCGGGTAAATTTTCACCTAAAATCATTAATTCTTGATGTAAAAGGGTCGGTCAAGATGTCTGGCTGATATATAGGGTAAATTTTCACCTAAAATCATTAATTCTTGATGTAAAAGGTAGGTCAAGATGTCTGGCTGATATATCGGGTAAATTTTCACCTAAAATCATTAATTCTTGATGTAAAAGGTAGGTCAAGATATCTGGCTGATATATCAGGTAAATTTTCTCCTAAAATCATTAATTCTTGATGTAAAGGGTCGGTCAAGATGTCCATCTGTGATATATCAGGTATAAAAATAATTATTTCTTGATGTAAAGGTTAGGTCAAAATGTCTGTCTAAAATATTAGGTAAACATCACTCTAAAAATCAACACCAGTCCCATATTTGAAATACCCTGCTCTGTTTTATGAAAAAATTATGGACAGGCTCATTCTTTGTTATTTAACTAAATTGCTCTATAATGAAATATTCAAATTGCTATTTCAGTAGGATTAGCATTAATTAAGGCATCATCTGAATAAATGAGATTCAGCAGTTGTTAAAGTTTTAACATGTACAAGTACTTCCTTTACTATGATTGTAAAAAAATAGTCAAGATACATTTTGTATGAGATCTACATCCAGTAAAAAACTGTCAAGTTATTTAGTAAACATTTTTAGTTAATCTTTTGGAGAATAGGTAGATCTAGTGAATTCACCCTGGCATCGGTGTCACACTTTGGTTAGGTTTATGTGCATGTAAGTATCTCTAAAACTGCTGAAAGGAATGGGTTGAAACGTCACACACTTATTTGAGAGTATAATAGGAGATAACTTTCCAAGATTCATAACTCTAACATGGATTTTAAGAGAGTTATGGCCCTTTTGAGCTCAGAAAATTTTACATTATTTAAGCTCTTGTTTTACTGTCAAGCATTGAGAAAAGTTGAGCACTCTGTCCTAATGACAACTCTTGTTTTGTAAATACCTGTGATGATCAATCGTAATATATCTGTTATTTGGTTACAGTACATGCATCGGACAATACTCGACTAGACTTGATAATACCTGGAGAACAACATTTCTATGTAAAGGCATCAAATGCCCAAGACAGACAGGAATGGTTGGTGGCCCTTGGAAGTGCAAAGGCAACTAAAGGCAAATTTAGTGATGATCCAGGTAAGCGTGTATTTCAAAGATGTTTGTTCTCTTAAAGTTCCTTAAAGTTATAAACAACTAAATCGTTAGATAATTTTGACTAAAAGACATTATGAAACATTCATGGGCACATGGTTTAGGTTCTTTTAATTCAAATCATGTGCCCATGACCACTGTGTTCAAATCTCAACAGGGACATTGAAATGTTTCATGTGAGAAATCATCAAGCAGATCAGCGGTACCACTAAGTTGCCCCCTTGCCCCTGAAATAATGCACATAGAAGCACCTGTAATGCTGGGTAAAGTTGCCATATTTGTGAGACTTCCTGCCACTCTCCCACCACCCCCAAATAAAAAAAAAATAAATGTAAATAAGAGATTGTGACCATTTGGGCGTTAGATTACTATTGGTATTAGGTGGTAACAGTGTGTTATAAATATTGGGACTTTCCAGTTTCCTGGTGGAGGGAGTCCTCATGTACCCCTCTGTGCATTATATCAGACATATATCGGTGGTTCTACTCAGGTGCCCTTCTGCGAATTATTTCAGGCACAAATTGGCACCTGATTAGAACCACCGAAGTTAGCTGGATAGCTTCCTCACATGAAAGAATCCAAAGTCTCTGTTGGCATTTAAACCGAAAGCAGTGAGAGCCAATTCGTTTGAACCATCTTAACTACTCACCCACCACATCCTTGAATATATGGTTTGGACAGTGATGTCTTGTTTGCAAGCGAAAAGCAATTTATAGTATGAAAGCAGCACGCCTGTGTTTGCTTATTTTCATGAAAATTTTGAAAATGTATTAAAAAGTAAGATATTTCGAATGGAACTTAGAAAATAATTTACACATTGCAAATGGCACTTACAATCCATGTAAATAACTAAATAGATGTCAAAATATGCAAAAATAGTCCTCACTGCGTTAGAAATATGGTGAAAAGTACTGCAAAATCGGTCATTTTTCGCAAATAACATGGAAATTATTGCTTTTATCTTGATTTGTTTACTTTTCTTTAAATCCCAGTACAATTTTCTCAGTTTTGATTTTCTTGAATATTTTGGCTCATCTGGAGGCATGCAGCTTGAATACTTAAAATGGAAAAAAGTGTTTATAAAAAAAAAGTTGTACAGTTTTAATTCATGTTTATTTTGCAGAAACTATAACACATGATTTATTAAAAACCAAGAGGTCTGAATTACGTCTGTATTGTGATCTACTGGTTCAACAAATTCACTCGGTGAAAATGGTGGCAACACAGAAAGAGAGTATTGATGAAGAGGTACGTTAACCCATTGCTTTGCCCAATTATCATGAATAGAAGTGCTTATTATTTAAACGATTATGAGATTTCATATATTGAAGTGAAAAGCGTTTATAAATTTTTCAATTTTGGGTTATAATCTCACAATTAGTTAAATCATTCTAGAAAATAAAGTGATCGAATGATCTTGAATTGTGCACACAAGTGATAGGTCTGAATCAAGTGGTAGATTAATCTCAAAAAAATATTTTCCAGTCCTGTGCTGTTCAAAAACCTCAATGAAAATATGAAGTTGGTAAGCAAACAGTTTAGAGCTTGCCAGATTGCACACACATGTACGCTGCCCTGGCTCTGTTCTAGTAGTAAAGGCTAATATTTCTAGTTTCAACAGTTTGAGGGCTAAGCTGTGCCAAAGTAACATCGGAGAGCATTTTCTATAGGTTTAATCATAGTGTGTGGTAATTTTATTTCAATTTATTCACATGCAGAAATTGGACCAAGCAGCATCTTTGTTAAGTCCGACATGTGACACATTTATACGTACGATGGAAGAATGCATGCAGCTCATACAAGCGTCTTTACCGTACGAGGGCTCTCGTTCTCCTAACACCCCGATCACCGATGCTGCGCTCCCACCATCCCCTTTAAAACTACCAAATAAAAAGGTAAATATGATAATGTAGAAAGCCAGTCATATACCAATATTACAATATATTCTGGTATATTAAAATTATATGAAAAAAAATTAATTTACTAGATTTATTTTTATTAGATGCTTAACTATTTAATTTTTCTAGGCATGTAAAATCTCAATATTCGTAGCATTTTAACATTATTAAAATAAAAGAATGTTTGCCTGAAACATTTTTTACAGAACAAATTTTTATTTTTTATATTTATAGAACAGACACCTTCATAGACAGAATTCCAATGAAAGGTAAGCCTTGTACATTTTCTCTAGTTATAATTTCATTATTTGAATTTTCTCAATTATCTTTACCCTGGTCAACTTGTGTAACAGATTTGCCCTGTTTCTAGAATTTCTAGAGTTCATTTTTATGCCCCCACAATGTGGGAGCATATAGCGTTGCACTTGTCCGTCCGTCAATCCGTCAGTCAGTCCGTCTGTCCGTACGTCCCGAAATCTTGTGAACGCAACTCCACTTAAAACCGGATGGCAGATTTTGCTTAAACTTACAGGGATGAACAACCTTAATGTGTAGATGGTAGTAAAGGAAGGAATTTTCGATGCGACCAAATTTAACAGAATTATGGCCCTTTGTTGATTTTTTCACTAGATACTATGTAGAAATTTTGTGAACGCAACTCCTCTTAAACCGGTTGGCAGATTTTGCTTAAACTTACAGGGATGAACAAACTTAATGTGTAGATGGCAGTAAAGGAAGGAATTTTTGCTGCGACAAAATTTAACAGAATTATGGCCCTTTGTTGATTTTTTCACTAGATACTATGTAGAAATTTTGTGAACGCAACTCCTCTTAAACCGGATGGCAGATTTTGCTTAAACTTACAGGGATGAACAACCTTAAGGTGTAGATGGTAGTAAAGGAAGGAATTTTCGCTGCGACCAAATTTAATAGCATTATGGCCCTTTGTTGATTTTTTCACTAGATACTATGTAGAAATTTTGTGAACGCAACTCCTCTTAAACCGGTTGGCAGATTTTGCTTAAACTTACAGGGATGAACAACCTTAATGTGTAGATGGTAGTAAAGGAAGGAATTTTTGCTGCGACCAAATTTAACAGAATTATGGCCCTTTGTTGATTTTTTCACTAGATACTATGTAGAAATTTTGTGAACGCAACTCCTCTTAAACCGGATGGCAGATTTTGCTTAAACTTACTGGGATGAACAACCTTAAGGTGTAGATGTTATTAAAGGAAAGAATTTTGCTGCGACCAAATTTAACAGAATTATGGCCCTTTGTTGATTTTTTGTCCAAAAAATATTTGTCCTAGAGTCATAAGATTGACAGAACAGTGGCGTGTGGGGGCATCCGTGTCCTATGGACACATTTCTAGTTTGAATTAAGAACTGACCATTGTCTGTTGAAGGGTTTTCAGTATTAATTGAATTGAATTAGTGACCTTTAGGCTGCTCTACCCATGTGACTAGTGCATAGCAAGATCACCTGGCACCATCAACACTGTTTACTATTCCGTCAGTACTTATTTTCCCAAATACTGATGAATGGTTTTGTCCAAATTGAGATATATGCAACAAAAATGCTTGCATACAAGCATAAAGAATATGCAAAACTATATATTTCATTATTGTTAACTACAGTTTAAACTCCCTTGTATATAAGTCACTGAAGGCTTTTATTAGTCCCCTACCGGTTTACCGGAGGGGACTTTAGGTTTACCCTCCGTCCGTCTGTCCGTCTGTCCGTCCGTCAGTCCGTCTGTCCGTCCGTCAGTCCGTCCGTCCACAAAACTGGATCCCGCGATAACGCAAAAAGTACTGAAAATATTTTAATGAAACTTGATATATGGATAGATGGCAGTATGGAGATTATGCACGTCTTTTTCTTTTCTTCCTATGTTGAAAATTCTGGTTGCTATGGCAACAAATAGACTGAAAATATGGCAATTTTTACACATAACCTAGATCCCGCGATAACGCAAAAAGTACTGCAAATATTTTTATGAAACTTGATATATGGATAGATGGCAGTATGGAGATTATGCACGTCTTTTTCTTTTCTTCCTATGTTGAAAATTCTGGTTGCTATGGCAACAAATAGACTGAAAATATGGCAAATTTTACACATAACCTGGATCCAGTGATAACACAAAAAGTACTGAAAATATGTTTATGAAACTTGACATATGGGTAGATGGCAGTATGGAAATTATGCACATCCTTTTTTATCTTCCTATGTTGAAAATTCTGGTTGCTATGGCAACAAATAGACTGAATTTCAAGATTTCTGATTCAAGTTTTTAAGTTTTTTCACTATAAGTTCTTTATTTCTTAAGGTATTTTCTTCAAACTTTAAATATAAGTTGCTTGTCATCAACCACATCATATGTGACAAGGTTTACAACTCTAGCACAATATTTATCAGAATTATCCCCCTTGAATTTAAAATTTTCATGAAAAAAAAAAACATTGTTTTTTTTAATAACTTCTTTTTCTGAATGTATCTACTTCAAACTTCATATAAATGTTTCTTATTGTCACTCAACATTTGTGAGTGTTCAATACTCTACCAAGACTATTTCCAGAATTATGCCCCTTTTGAACTTAGACTTTTTTTTTGAGAAATTGGTAATTTTTACTCCAACTTCTTCAATCATGATAGGATTTTAAAAATGTTATATTTTGATAACAGGGATGTTTAAAAAATAACTTTAGAGTGTCCTTCAGTCCGTCTGTCTGTACATAAAAACTGTTTCCTGTGATCACTTTTAAAGAACTTTTTCAACAAATTTACTTAAAATAGGAACCTAAGTGAATGGCCAATGGCCCTTCAGAATGTTGCTTGGGCTCTTACCGGTAGGGGACTTATGGATTGCTTGCAATACTATGATAATTGCTTGTTCACATAATGTCTCATTTATTTTTCAGAACATCAGTTCATAGTCATTCAAGATCGCCATCAGTATCAAGTGTTGATGCAACTCCGGTATCGAGACAAAGTTCACGAAATCGGACATCATCTGATACCTCTCTTTCTGATGTAACCGGCGTTAAAATTCACAGTCCAGTGGACAGTATACCAAATAGTGCATTATATAGTCAGACTGGTAGAGTTAATCATAGCTCAGACAGTGAGGGAAAAGTGCAATCTAATTTGACTGGTTTAAGAACTTCTGGTCAAAAACTTCACAATATAAGTGAGAATGGTGCAATGATTTCTGGTGCAAATTTGAACAACAGTGCAGTAACCAGTCCAGCTGGTCTAAAATTAGAACAGACTGGTACAGTATCTGTGAGAACAAATTCAGAGACTGGTTATTATTCAAATGATGAAGTTTCAAGTGAAGGTGATGTGTTTTTGGATCCTGTAGAACCAAGAGTGTCCACATTTTTCTCGGTTATGGGAACAAGGTATGTCTTTTACGATTATCTCAAAAAAGTAGTGTATGCAGTTACCATTTTATTCAAAACCTTGTATTATCTTAAATGGTGTGTGCTTTCTTTATTTTTGTTGACAGCAATAACCAAACATTTTGATTTCAAGTAATTTTACTTCTCTTTGAAAGTTGTTTATTCTTTTCCTTCTTTTTAATACCTTCTTTTTAAAATGAAAATGTCCAGGTTAGGATTTGAAACAGTCCATTAGAGAGTTAAGAAATATTGGATCTGTACAGTCAAGTAAAATAATACAGCATTGTAGGCTAACATGGCTGTATACATGTGGCACAAGTCTGTTTTTATTGTCCCAAATACTCAATAAGTTAAAGCTATATGCCTCCAGATAAACCAAAATATGTACTAAGATTTTAAGAAAAGTAAAAAAAGATTCAAGTGATAATTTACATGTTGAATGCGATTACTGACTGGTTTTGCAAGTAATTATCACCCTATGTCTACTGCATACTGTAACTAAAGTTTTTGTATATTAATATGGCCCCTCTTTCAAAGTTTGGTTCAAAGCGCCGTTCACTTCATGAAAAATAGCATGAATCTGGAGGCATTCTGCTTTAAAGTTGAAATGATGCTACTGCATGAATGTCACTGAAAGAAATAGTGCAAGAACTTATGATATGAGGTAAATTGTTGTTTAGATGTAGTAAATGATTAAATATTCTAATATTTCAGTTTTATGGATCTAAAGATTGCCGAGGATGCAGGTATACCAGTGGAACCTTTCCTTGACTCTTGTAAAAACCTTTTACCTATATTCGGTAAGATTCTGATTAAAAATTTTGACTTCCCCCAGCCCCCCCCCCCCCTCCCATGACATATGTAACTTTTTTTTCCGTTCATCATTTTGAAGAAAAAAAAGTGGAGCAATTGACATATTGTCATGACCCACTTGTTGGCATTGGGACTGATGTTGGTCAACCTTTTCATTAAGGTCCATTTTCATAGAAAGTATAAAAGCTATTCACTTCAAACTTAGCATACATCTTTATTTTCAAAGAAGGACCCCATTTTTAAAGGGAAGATAAATTTAAAGAAAAATTAAGTATTTTAGCCCTTATTAACTTCCTTGTTAAGATCCATTTCCTCAGAAAATATTAAATTTATCCACTTCAAACTTGATATACATGCTCACAAGCAAAATACAATGTATGTCATCTTTTCAGAAGGGCAGATTATCCTAAAATTCATTTTTGCAATTTAAATTATTATGGAATATTTTTGTAGATTTTGTACTTTCTTTGTTCAGTTGACAATATTTTACGTCTTAAAGCATTTAAAAAAAGAAGAAGAAAAAAAAAAAAATTAGCATGAACCTGGAGTCATGTTGTTTTAAAGTTGTTTTTTTAACTTATGAACTATGCCTCCTGAAACCTTAATCAATTTTTGGGATTGTGAACAAGAGATGTTTTTATATATATTGCATTTATTTAGATACAAGTTTGATGGCCTATATAATTATGTCAATTTTTGCCCTTAATCTAACAGTATTCTTCTTTGATGTCTAAATCTTTTAATAATTGTTACCTTTTATTTCAGATAAATTGAATTCCACCGCATTTGCTCCAGTTAAAATGGATTTCCAGGGGAACATAAGGGTAATGGCTACATTAATTTATATAACTTTTAAAAACTTTTCAATACTGACAATACTTTCCGGCACTGAGCAAAGTGGGAGTGCATAGCCAAGTGGTTAACAGATTGGTTTGACCATTACGTTAGGCGTAATTTTTCTGTGACAATAAGCTCTGATATTGACTGCGATAATTGAGTTGAATGGTCATTTAACTCTAGCCATTGATTCAGAAATTCAGGATTAGTAGCTGGTTTCTTAACGATTGTAATTAACAATTAATTATCATGGAAAGCATGTTAGGTGGACTGACAGCTAAGATAGGACTAAGTATTGTTTTAAAATTGGCGTAAAAACCAAACTTAACAAACAAAAGATAAACAGTTTATATTATAATGTATTGTTATGAAATTTTACAGAAAGTGCGAACAAAGTTTTCCGTACATCCAGAAGAGTTTACTACGTTACAAAGCATAATACAACATGAGATTAGTAAAAACCAGCAACATTTGGCCTCGTCAGCTACCATGGCCTTACTCTGGATGAAAAGGTTTGTGCTCGTAAACTCTTTTAGTTTTTAGTGTTCAACTTTATTTGTCATCCAATGAAAACGCTTTATTTCTTAAAAGTTGTGTTTTAATTTTCATAGAACAGCAAAAGTTGATACTATGTCGAATTCCCTTCATAGTCGCCTTCAATTTTTCACAGTGCTTCATAGAATCGCATAGTGACGTAATTAAGTGAATAATAATGAGGCCAAATAAAGCTTGACAGTAAGTTTGTTAGTTTTCATCTGTAGCTGTTCTACAGAAATTAGAAACTTTCTGTAGAACAGCACAGATGAACACTAACATATACTTAGCAGCTATATAATAGTTTGAAAGAGTGTAGATTTAATACTAATTTATTGAACGAGTTGGATAAAATCATATTATACGAGTCTCTGGCGAGCAAAATGTTTTTTTATTCAACAAGTCCAATAAATTTAGTATAGAATCTACATGAGTGTAATTTTCTAGAAAGTGTATAGTGTGATGCGAACATTAACGTGTTTTAACGCTATCTTTGTATATAACGTAAATGGCATCACATCGAAGTGTTGTTACACTAGTGTAATATTGTTTTTTTTTAATGGGTTTATTACACTCCTGTGCCATGGTTTATGTGATAGATGATGGTAGTGTGCACTCTGCTCAAATTTATTAATTACATGTATAAATATTTGCAATCGCTTAACAGTAGCTTTGATAATATTAAAGATATGATTTGACTTCACATAAAGTAGATATGTTATCTTTTTAACTCTACACACACTAGGTGGGTACAATATGAATATATATAGTGTAATTAAAAAATCTATCTAAATTTAAAGATTTCCTACTGTTGACAATGTCATTTATATAACTACTATTATTTTAATATGTTTGTACATACAGAAGTTTGGAGTTTATTTCTGGGTTTCTGGACGAGATCAAGAAAGGGGAGGAGGATCTGGGCGCGGCTGCCTCAAAGGCATATGCTGACTCCCTCAAACCTTTTCATGGATGGGTGGTTAGGGGAGTATTTGCAGTAAGTGTGTTGGCGTTGTTTTATATAATTTTCTGTAATTTGCATACATTTCCGGGGCTAATTTAAAGCACATTTGAATAGAATTTGTATACTTACAATTTTTCTATTATTAATTAATATTTAATTAATAATATAATTAATGTAAATTAATGATTCTGATAAGAAAGGCTTTCCTTGGTGTCAATTTTTCACTGGTCAAAGTAAATTTCTTCAAAGTTCTTACCTCGCTCGCCACTGTGGCCAGGGCATGTAATATGTGAAAACCTTACAACGGAATTTATTTAAATAAAATTATCTATTTATAATTTCAGGTAGCAGTAAAAGCTTTACCATACCGTAGTACATTCCTGTCATTGTTAAATCCCAACGATACAGACGTTGACGAGCAATGTTATATCACCAGTCTGATGACAGATATTGACACATTCTGTAGTGCGTCAAGCGTCGTAATTAAGATTCTTGATGATTTCTTCACTGCGAATAATATAAAAATTGATGAACAAGTTTAAGATATGTATATTATGTGTTATATGTATGTATTTAAATATAGGATCTTACATTAGCTGTCACTTCTTAGCTGGTCTGTTTCGAAGAAAAAGTCGAGCTTTTATGATTGCTGCATTATTGCTGCCATTCAAAATCTTTAATATGGCCGAATATTTAAAAAGTTTTTAACACGAAACTTGGCATACCTCTTTATTTTGACATGGTTCATTTGTGAAACAAGGGGCATTGGTTGCTTTTTTTTAAAGTCTTGTATGAAAGGAGAGGGGGATAAGTTATATAATTAAATACATAGCAAGCCTCAGACAAGTGTAATGCAGGCGTGTTTGGAAATGACAACAAATGTAAGATTCTTTATCTCTGATAAAAATTTTATTGCCATAAATTGGCCAAAAATTATGGCAAAAATAACAAAATTATTTAATAATTTAGATTATATGTTACATTGATACAAAGTGAGATCATGTGATATTATTATAAGTATAGCATTGTAACAACATAATTTGAGCCGCACCATGACAAAACCAACATAATGTGTTTGCGACCAGCATGGATCCAGACCAGCCTGCGCAGTCTGATCACGATCCATGCTGTTCGCTATCTGTTTCTCTACTTGTAAGCAAACAGCATGGATCCTGATCAGACTGCGTGGATTGCAGGCTGGTCTGGATCCAGGCTGGTCGCAAACCAATTATGTTGGCTTTGTCATGATGCGGCTCAATTAAGTTTAATAGTAATTTTGTATGTTTACAAGAAAGTGCTCTTGTACAGACATATAATTCATCACCTTAGTGCAGTAACTGGTTAACTCCTATTGAATTTAGAAGGACTTAACCTGTTACTGCACTAAAGTGATGCATCAATCTATTTTTATATTCTAAATATTTTGATGAATATTTGGCCTTTATATAGAATATTTTGGTCTTTCAATATTTTCCTGACTGAATGATTATTGGGCTTTTATATTATTTGAATCAAATTAAATTGCCCCGGGCCTTTAAAATATTTTAGCCTTATGGTATTGTTCTGATTTAATATATTTTGGGTGGCATCCAATATTGTTCTTGCCTTTCTATATTGGGCCATTATATTTGAGCCATATGGTATTGTTCTGGCCTTTAATATATTGGGCTCTTGCAATATTTTAGTCATGGGCTAATATATATTAGGCTGTTACAATATTTTAGTCATATGGTATTGTTTTGGCCTTTATATATTTTGAGGCATAGAGTATTGTTCTTGCCTTTTAGATTTATATTAGTATTTTAGTCACATGGTATTAGCCTGGCCAAGTAATTGACTTATATAAGATTCTTTCCAGGCTAATTTTCAGTATTTCTTCTATAACATATCATTAAAGTGATTTGGCCAAAGAGAATTCTGTTCATAGTTTTCAGACTGACATTTAATGCAAATCCTTTAGATAATCTATGAAAGTATGTGTGTTATCTTGTCACCACTTAATGTTCATTTTAAGGTTGTGGTCACCAGTAAAAGTTCAAACATTTGGTCCTCCATTTGGCCAATCTTTTTATTTATTTTTTGATGTTGATGAAAGTTGAGAATGCCCTTTCTTATTCTTTAGCAAATTTAATGTCTGCTTTTAACATAGTTTACTTAAAAATGTTGAGGGTTTAAGTCGTATAGTAAGTCGGGTTTTTGTAAAATATCTTTTTGCCTCATTTAACTATGAGTCTGGGCATTTAAATATGTATTTTTCTAACTAAAGTCACAAATATGCAATATTTTTTTCTACATATTTCATTATCATGGGTACAAGTTTTCGGGCAAGTGCCTGAAGTTCAGGTATTTTCTACTCCTGAAGGCACTATTTTTCTACATAATAATTGAAATAATGCTAAATTCAGGGTTTTCAAGTTTCCAGATATTTTTAACTTGCACCCATTCATCACTAAAAGTGGCATATATCAAGTAAACAGCTATTGCAAAATTTCAATATTCAAAATGACCTAGAAAATACCTCGTCAAATCTTTTTCACTTTTTTAAATAAATGTATAAGTTTTCAATGTATTTTTTTATTTTTGCATGGACTGACTGGCCAATTACATAAAACAAGATAAAATTGATACTTTAAGAAAAGTAGAATATTTTTCCAATGTTTAGAAAAGAGCAGAACAGTGAAATGATTGCTTGTGTATTTTTGTACTACTTTCATATCTTTTACTATGTACGTTAAAGTGGATTGATCTGCAATGGGTACATTTTCCTAAGTGTTTTAAATATTGAAAAGAAAGTAAAAATGTATCTTTTGTGTAGTTCTTTGAAATATTTCTGAATATCAAATGCTGATCGAGTTCTGAAGTAATATAGTATGAAGATACATGTATATATAAATAATAATTATTTTGTTCTAGAACACTTTATTATCTGCTATATATTTATATGTTATATCAGATAATGTGTATAACACTTCCAAACATCCAGAGATAATTCTTTCTTGGTTTCTTTCCAATTAAGATACAAAATACTATCAACATAATTATTTATGGTATTAAAAATCTTCCATTATAGACCAATTTACTTTAAAGTGGATTTGTCCACAATGGGCCCATTTTTCCTAAACTTCAAGAAACAAACAATTATTCTACTGATATTAGCCAAACATGGCATTTTTAGCCTTTGGCCGGAATACAATTTGATAAAACTTTGATGAACGATAAATTAGATGTTAAGCAACATACCACTATGGTCATTCATCAAAATGCGTCACCTTAGTGCAGTAATGGGTTAATCCTATTAATATCTGATTGGAGTTAGACTGTTACTGCAATAAGGTGATCGAATGATTCGATGTCACAATCCTTTAAAGTTGCTAACCCACACACCATGGGTATTTGTTGTTGTCGTTTTTTGTTGTTTTTTTAAGAAACAAAATGGCATCAAAAAATACAAATTACAGAGCAGATTTTAACTAGTAGATGAATCTAGATGATTATAAAAGATTGCCTTTCTCCCAGAGATTTTCAAAAGTATATTCTGTGTGTGGGGGTAAGTCCCTTTAAGAAAAACCCACCTCTGATGTTCTGTCCTCAAAACTCCCATCATGGTTTAACTTGATTTTTTAAATAACCATATTGTATTGTCTTATATTGTTTTATGTTTTTATTGTTTTATTTGGGCATATTGCTGAAATGATTTATCCTATTGTTGTAAATTTTATGTCCTATTTAAACAGACATAGTCTGGGATAAAGGAATTACTTTAACCTTTAACTTGCTGAATTTCTTAAATGGACTGGTCCTGCTACCATTTTTTGGAACTGTCCATTATCACTGTTGGGTAAATCAAAATGTAAATGTTAAGATAGTCAGAGCATAGTACAGACTGGGTTGGTTTTTTACTGGTGACAATAGCTAACCCATACTGGGTCACAATAGCTTACCCATCCTGGGTCACAATAGCTAACCCATCCTGGGTCACAATAGCCATGGGTCACAATCATTCTGGCATTGTGTTCACTAAGATTTAAGGATCAAGATTAGGGTCAGATTTAAAAACTCAAGTATTTCCAATTGTTTATCCTCATAGATTAAATTATTAAATTGGACTTGAAATAGCATGCTTAACATGATTGTACATAATATGGGTATTTTACAGTCGATCCAAAAATTGATTGATTTTGATCCGAAAGTAAATCATGATTTTGATCCTAAAGTAGATCATTATTTTGACCTGTTGCTTTACTTGTTAATTTTATCCCAATTTTGGGTTGTTTCTTTGTAAATCAGCAATCTTTTACATTTTGTTCATGCACCATTTAATTTTAACAAAATGCCATCAATTTTAGTTTTGTAAACTGTGTTTCAGCAAGTTATGGTTTAAATGTAATGTTTATATTTTTATGTTATAGTTATTTATCGTGTAAAGCTTTCGGCTTTAATTCCATGAAGTAAAATTACCACAGATGTGTTTGTTCGAAGTAAATATGAGCCGCGTCACGACAAAACCAACATAATGGGTTTGCGACCAGCATGGATCCAGACCAGCCTGCGCATCCGCGCAGTCTGATCAGGATCCATGCTGTTCTCTTACCAACCCTATTACAGGTAGAGTAACTGATAGCGAACAGCATGGATCCTGATCAGACTGCGTGGATGCGCAGGCTGGTCTGGATCCATGCTGGTCGCAAACCCACTGTTGGTTTTGTTGTGACGCGGCTCATATATATATTTATTTCCATTAATTTTATTGTAATTAATATATTTGTTTTGTTTATCTTGTGATGTGTGTATAAAATACTTTGATTATTTATTATCATTTTCATAATTAGATAATATATATTTTGTTTTGTTCTTTTGTTTTTCCGCCAATGATATGGCCATAATTATGCTATGCTTTTGATTCCATCATTAGTTACTGTAGTTTTTGTTGTGTATCTATATTTTTGTTGAAATCCATTTTTGTAAGTATTAAAGTGTCTCGTTGTTAAGGGATATTTGCATTGTTATATTTTTTTGTGGGATAAATTTGTAGTAATGCTTTAGATATGTAATATCTTTTTCCCCTTAAGTTTGTTTTGCTGACAAAATAAAATTTTTAGTGTAAAAATTATATAGTCATAAAATGAAGTGAACAAATTTATTGTCTGGTTGAAATAATGAAATATTGTTTGAAATTATATAATGGTATATTAAAATTTATTAAAAATGAATCGGGTTTGAAATAAGAAAATATTTGAAACTTCAATGAATTTTGGTTGAAATAGTAAATATTTAATAAATTTTTGGTAGAAATAATAAAATATATTAAAATTTAATGAATTTTGGTAGAAAATATAAAAGTATAAAATATATATGTATCAAAAACTTGGTCAATTTCTGAAATGCACTGATCAAGTCTATTCAATTTATTTCTATGTCAAATTCACAGAATTCTTTTATTTCTTTCTATGTTAAATCAATTACTCAAATTTATTTCTATATCAATTTTATTTTTATCTCCTATTTATTTATTTCTAAAAGTAGTGAAACACATTTAGTTTCTCTTATTTATGTATTTGTTAAAAGGAAATTCATTGATTTCTGTTTAAAATCTAATGCTTTGTTGAATAAATGAAACGCATTTAGTTTCTCTTTAATTTCATTC